GGCCTTACCAAAAATCTTACTCCGACCGGTTGAACGCCGTCCAGCGCAATATGGTAGGCATTTTGATGAAGATGCGTCCAGGCGCCGGTGAGACAGTTGAGACCTACCGCCGGCGGCGCCGCAAGCTGACGAACGGCTCAGCAGCAAGCCCTGGCCTGTGCAGCCATCTTTGGGCCAGGCCAATCTCAAATTGGCATTTTTGCGCGGCCATTATGCCCGCGCATCGTCTGGCCCGCTGCTTCGTTTTCGGCCGCTGGGCTGGTTGAAGCTGCAGCGGCTGACCGAGTCTGCGCGCAACGAGTCCGGAACCCGCGCCCGCGCCTTCCAAGGTTACGTCCACAGGCGGTGACGCGATGGCCTCGAGGCGGCCCAGCAAGCTGCCCTATAATCGTCCGTTCTTTTCGCTCCTTGCCCCCGCCTCCGCAATCCTCTGCATCATCCTCTCTCTCTCCTCCGTTGTCTTGCGATGAATCTTGTCCCAGAGTGTCGCTATGATTATGATTGCTCATTGCCTTCCGTACCATTTGATCAGACGCGGCTGTCCTAACGCATTTTGAAAAATTTGCCAGTGGGGCCCAGGCCACGCCCGTGGGGATAAGAATCGGTAAAATGATGCTCACCGTTACCGCCCTCCCCCTCCCGCTCCCTGCCCCTCCTCTCCCAGTTTGTCCTGTCGCCTGCATAGTGGTTGTTTGTCCTGGTGCCCGCACAGTCCTCCTGCTCTCAGGATGCTTGCTGTTTGTCCTGCTGCCTGCATACTGCTCGTAGCCTCCGAAGGATCAATGATCAAGGGTCTCATCTCCCCGCCTGGCCACTGGCCGCAGCGTCCCCCGCGCCCGAGGCTCGTCCAGGGGGCCCACTGGCCGACGGCCGCCGACCCCCGTGCTCACCGAGGATTGCCAGCGCGCCCAACGGCGCGGCAGCAGCTCACCAGCACCTCCAGTCGCGCTGCCCCTCCTCCTCTCCCCTAGTATGGAGGTTCGAGGCTTTTGAAGGTTTTCGGACGCTTTCGTCGGTGTTCGGCGGCCTTCCAGTCTCGGGATGCTTGCCAGCAGCTGCGCCTCGCCGAAGGCGTTCCGGGGGTGCCCCGATCGTGTTATAACCCAAAAGCCAGATTCGGCACCACCTTCCCCTTTCCAGGGCTCGTTTCGACTCCTCCGATCCGATTCGACTCGGTTTCGACGGCTTCTGGTGCCGATCCGGTTCGGCAACAAATTCCGTTTGGGATTCCGATTTCTCGACGGAGCCTTTCTTAGTTTGCCGACATCGGCCGATTCGACTACCCCCGACTTGGTTGCCGATGTCCGTTGTTCCGATTCATGCTGATCGCCTATCCGACGTATCGATTCGATTCTGGGCTCTCTTGCCCATCCTCCAGTGTTTCTCCTCCCCCTCCTCAGTTCCGTTTTCCCCCTTTCCCACGTGGGGACAGGATTTACGACAGTTTCCCCCAATTGGCAATCGGGTTTGCCAAAGGGCGTTCTCGTTCTCTTGCTCAAGAGGCTTACGCCATTCCGCCGACCCCCAGAAGGGGAGACATGCGGTTTTCGTGTTGGTATGCGCAGTTTGCCGCATCCCATCGTCGTGCTGCCTGCGTGGAATTTTTTATGGTTTGTTTTTCTATTTCTCAGCGTCTGATGCGGGGCTTCAGGCCTCGGGGGTGGCCCTTTAGAAATTGCCCTTACGGGTTACCCCCCTTTCCCCAGCCCCTCTTGGCGCCTTTTTTGAAGGTTTTTCCCAACCATCCTGTACTGCTGAGTCCTCGTTTTGAAGAGATAGCGCCCCGCGCTCCTCTTCGTTTTTCCTCCTCCTCCCCCTCCCTCATCCCGTCATCCCGTCCCTGCCGCTGCCCTCCGCATGAGGTGGCTTAGCACCGCGGTAGGCATTTTGATATTGCCCCCCCGTGCATCAAAGCCCCCAGCATTCCACAGGAGGGCAATCCAGGACGGGCGCGCCGCCGCACAGGCGTGCCAGACGAGAGCGTGCCGTTGCTCGCGTGCGCCTACATATCGCCAGGGGCACCCAATGCTTCGAGGCATACCACGGGAGTGCTGCACCGATGGGAAAGGGCAAGGCGACGGGAGCTGACACGCGTTGTGAGTGTTCTTATACACGTGAGTGGAACCGCATCCTTCTGCAAAATAATTACGTGTGGAGTTCATTTGGGATTTCACCAGAAAAAGTGATCGGGCAAGCAGAGAGGCCAGGGGAAGGACAGCACACAGCTAGCTCTCAGCTTGCCCGCGCAGAATGGTGACCCAGATCCCAAGGACATCTTCGTGGAAGTGATGAAGGTGGAGGTGGGCCCTGCGCTGAAGCTCGCCCTGCAGGCGGCCATAGCGAAGCAAAAACCGACGGTGCAGGCACCCACGATGGTATCAGCAGGAGAAGCTCATCGCAAGGCTGAGGCAGCTTGGAGGGGCGCCAGCATGAAGCACGACGCGCGGTGAAGGCGTTGGATCGGGCGACCGAGCAGCTCAATCAGGCGCAGTCTCGTGAGGAGGAGTCGGTGCGAGCCTAGGTGCCGGTAGAAACTGCGAGGAGGATGGCGGTCAAAGCCTTGGAAGGCGAAGCAGGTTTCGCACACCAGGACGGTCTTCAGCCAGACAAGCAGCACGCTGGCGAGATCCAGTTCGATGCGGTCTGGGACGAGGGCTTCTTCAAGTCACTTCGTGGCGGCACGTTGGCGTGCGAGGAGAAGGAAAAGTAGGAACTCTTCCAGCTCGAGATGGACGTCGTGGCGGCAAAGTCCTACCACGGGGAGAAGAGCGACAAGGCCCGAGAGTGGCACGTTCGCATGGAGACCACGAGGGCGGCGCTGCAGGATCATGCAGCTGGCGACCGAGGCGGGCGGCCAGGCTCGCGCAGCTGGCGACCGAGGCGGAGGCGCAGCTGCAGCGGCCGCGGCGGCGACAGCGGCGGCGCCCGATGGGCCGCGGCAGCGCAAGCCCAGGAGAGGGTGGACGCCGAGGTCCGTCGCGTTCGAGCGGCCAAGGAGGCGGCGGCGCAGGCGGCGGCAGCTGCGGCCGCCCAGGCTGCCCAGGCGGCTGCGGCCAAGAGGCGCCGCGGCGTCGGCGACCGGCGAGGCCGCGGGGCCCGCGCCGGGCCCGCGGAGCAGCAGCGACGGGCGCGAGCTCGTCATCAGCAGCGGGGCGTCTACGACGGCGACGGCCCTTTTCAGGCGCGGTATCTTCGGTGCCGACTTCTTTTTCGTCGTCGCCATCTTCGCCTGGAGTTCCGGTTGAAGCTGAGGCTGCGGGGTCTCGGGCAGCGCCGACGCCAGAGGAACGTCGCGCAGACGTGCCGTCTTCTACCTCGGCGCCCGGGGGCAAAAAGGTTCAGCGCGGCTTTCTTTGGGCGCGAGGCTCGAGATTAACCGGCGCATCTGGCAGGCAGTCGCGTTCGTTCAACACGTCGCGTTTTCCGAAAGGCATGCCGCCGCAGCTCGCCCGCCGAGTGGATTAAAGCTGCCGAGCAGATCGAGCTTGGGACCCCTGTCGGCCCGGCCAGAGCGACGGGGCCCTGGCGCCGCGCGATTCCCGGGCTGGCTCGGGCAACGGAGGGCGGGGAGATATTTCTGTCGCGGGGACGCAGACACGCGCGTGGATTAAGCGACGGTCGTCTTGGGGAGCTGCGCATCGATGGTCAGATGCAGTTGGGCGGGCCCTGGCCAGCTGTGGTTCACATGCAGGGCTTTCGTCTGATCGTCGCGTTCAATAGGCGCAGTCCTGGCACGCGCGCAGAACGCTTACTATATTCGCCCGCCTGGGATCTTCTGCTGGCCATGCGACTCCCTCGGGGTGTCTCGGACGATTTCAACGCGCCTTCGCCGGAGCTCCAGCGCGTTCGCTTTCTGTCCATGGTCGGGGCGCCAGCGCTGCAAGCCCCCGCCGAGCGCGCCTGCGTTCGCGCCGACGGTGCGTCTTGCATCGGCCACGCGTTAGTCTGTGGAGCGGAAGCCCCATGCGTCTTGGGGCCCCAGGCTATCCGGGATGCTCCTTGGAAGTCGCGCCATGTCATAGCTTTGCAGCTGGGGGGGAGGGGGGCGGGTGGGCAACTTATCACTAGGTCGCTCACCTCGCCTTGTTTTTCTACGCGGGTTTGTTGCCCTCGGCAAGGGGAGACGCCCGGCCCCGCGTCTTCCAAGGCCCGTCGCGCACAAGCGGTGCGCCAGGGTTCCGCCGGAGAAATGCGAGTAGAGTGCGCCACTAAAGCATTTTGAGAGATCTAGGAGAAACCAACCAACACTTGTCAGTACTTGTTCTGGCGGCCCCGCCCTCGGATCCCCCGGTGGTTTGGCTCTTCCAGATGCCCCGTATGCCCCGTGAGGGGGGCGCCGCGTCGGTATCGTGGATGACGGTTGGGCTCATGGGCGGATGGGCCCAATGTGGTAGAGCCCTGCCCATCCGCCCCGCTCGCCCCCCCCCCTCCCCCTCTCCTTCTGCGCCTGGCAGGCCCGGTGGTTTTGAAGTCTGCTCGCGCAGCGCGGCGGGCGCCCCTGTGAATTTGCGCGGCGGAGCTCTCGTCGATCCGAGCGAGGCCCCGAATCATCTTGTCGAGGCCCGTCAAGCGAGAATGACCGTTCTCGCTCGCGCCGGTCAGCGGAGGCGCGTCAGAAGCTAGATCCCGGCGGCCGAGGCTGTTCAGCGCGAGCGTCGCAGCTTTGATCCAGCTGACCTGGTGGATCGCCATCTCGAGGAGACGGTCCGACCATGGGGTTGGGGAATGCGCGCAGCTCCCAGTATCATCGGGATCTGCTACTCAATAATGCGATGGCGAATTGGCGGGAGATCGCGCGTGTTATTTTGGGCAGGATGGGCAACCGCGGACGTCGAGGTAACGGGGCATCCCGGGCGCGCGACCTTGCCAGAGCCGGTGCAAAATTGGGGTCGCAGGCCCCAGATGGAGTTCAGAAGCGCGTTGGCGTGGGCCCGCCAGCAACATGCTGGACGGCGCGGAAAGATCTTCTTTGGAATTCAGGGGCAGCACCGCCCGCCCAGATGGAGCATTGCGGCATCAAGGCTGGCTGCGCTGCAGCACGGAACAAGGCGAGATCTTCGTTCCCGGCCGATTTCAAGACTCGGACATTGACCGGTTACAGCAGTTCCACGCAACGTGCAAGCATAAGCACGCGCGTCTGCAGATTGATTGCCACACCATGGGCAAGCGAGAGCGAGTGGGCTATGAACATGAGCATTAGCAGTCGAGCGCATGCGAGAGTGGGTGGGCAATCGCGAGCGAGCGTGAACATGAGCAATCGATAGCATGAGCGCGAGCATGAGCATGATCAAGCGAGAGTGCGCGAGCCATAGCAGAATTGCGAACCTCCGTTAGGCGCTGGGGGCCCCGCACAAAGTCATTGGACACGCCAGTAGCGTAGCGGGGCGGAACCACAGAGGGTATATTTCCAGGTCCCCTCTCAGGCCCCTGATATGATTAATCGCCGAGCGGTGTAGAAACGAGAAAATTCGCGGGGGCGTATTCCTTGACGCATGTGGGTCACCTCGGCACTTTCAGGTCGACCAGAACATTTTCAGGTTCGACCAGAAAAATTCTTCGGGGGCGCCTCATCCATTGTCTCTTTTTTCCCCCTATGCGGATGGTAGGTTCAGGTCGATTTGAAAATGTGCATGTCCAAATGGCACCACGTGGTGTAGACGCCTGAAAATGTCACCGGGCTGTATTATTTCATGCGCGCGGGGCGCCTGGACATTTCCAGGTCGATTTGAACAGTGTCAGGTTGGACCCGGACATTTTCTTCTGAGGCGTTTCATCGATTTTTTCTTCACCCGGGTGGCACGTTCAGGTCGACCTGAAAAACCGCATGTCCAGACGGTGCAACGTGGTGAAGAAACCTGAAAACGCCACCAGGATATATGATTTCATGCGCGCGGGGCACCTGGGCATTTCCAGGTCGACCTGGCAGCTTTCAGGGTGGACCTGCAATTCACGCAGCATCCATGGTTGTTTGATAGGAAAGGCTTGCTCTGCTCGACCCGAACATTTTGAAATTCAATCGGCGCGCCCATCGGAACACGCCACCAGAAGATGTAAATCCATACGCGGGGGGCGTCTGCGCAGCTTCGGCCCCCCTCTCAAAACCTTCGGGCTGGGCCGCACAACCGCGTTCCGATGTCGTGCCTAAATTGTTTTTCATGCGAAAAGCTTCTTGGGGTCGACTTGAGCCCCCCATCGGTTGGCGAGGAAAGCAGAGGCGCGAGACGCGTGAAACCGATTTCCCGCGGGCGACGATGTGTTCGCAAGGCTCCCTCCTTTCTTCCATGATCTTTTTCCGCTGAGATTTCGATCCACCGTGGGAAGAGGGCGCGACGGTGCAGCGTCGCCGTCGTCATCAACGTCGCCATCGCATGTCCGAGACTTCCCGCTGGCAGCATCCTGATGGGAGGCGGGAGAAACACGGCGCCGATGTCACTGGGGCAATAGGGGGCATGGGGGCGCGCGAACCGCATAACCGCTTTCCAGACGGGGACCCAAACCAGGGGCACCGAGAAATTTTACCGTCACCGCCGCGAAGCTGACAAGCCAAATTCGCGAAACATGTTGCAGACACCATGTATCAAATAATGGTAAGTTTGGGTTTGCTTTTCAGAGCGTCTCACAAGGCTCCACATAATGTGGATCAGATCGACGTGGGGGATGAAGTGTTGCATTGTCCTGTTGACCTAGATGATCATCGGGCTGCTCGCTGGCGTAAGATGTGGACCTCGCGGGCGGTCAGTAACAGAAGAGAAGTCAAGATCTTGTTTGAAGCCATTCATGCTCGAGCGCGCCAGGGGCCTCTGGCCCCCCGGACATCGATGACACGCGTCGTGCATTTCGGGCTATGAAGGCAAGAGCTGGGCAGGGGATCGATCGCCTGTCCCCGCTCGACCTCGAGTTGTTACCTGGCAAGGATCTGGTGGAGTTGGCGCAGATCTTCATTGCCCGCGAGGGGTGCACAACGTGGCCGTGGCAATTGGTGGGAGTATTCGGTAGGATGATACCCAAGAAGACGGGTGGTCAGTTTCGCGTCGTCGGTCTCATCTGCACCATGTGTCGAGCGTGGTCACCGGCTACGGAACCGGTCGTGCAGTTGCGGTCCCAGGGCGCGCAACCGCCATGGGGCACAACTGCGAGGGGGAATTCATCCTTCAAGGAAGCGTTCATGAAGTCATTGGATGGCGAGTTTTACACGATGCTCAAGAGAGCGAACGGTCACGCGCTTGCCGACATCATGAGCTTCTACGATAGGATGAAGTGGGTCACGCTAGTCAATGCAGCGTTCCGATATGGTTTCCCAGCACCGATGCTGTGGCTGGGACTTCATATGCACAGCTCCGAGGGTGCCCGATCAGAGTGATACGGTTGCGCTGCCCTCGAGGAGTACCATGCAGGGCTTGCGCCCTGGTGCACGTTTCGCGAGGTGCGTCACCAGCTTAGTTAGTCATGGAAAGGCTCACGGTGGCGCGCGCCCACTCTGTCCGGGGTTGTGGATAGATGGCATGTCGCAGACGGCGGTGGGTTCCAGCAGGTTCGTGCGTGAGACGCTCATCGAGGGCATCAGGGCAGTGCGCGATGTGCTGGAGAATGAAGGTCTTCATGGGGTCACCAAGAGTGCTGTCACATGTTTGTCAATGGAGGATTTATCGATCGTGCGTTGACTTCAGCAGAGAGGAGTGAATATTCAGTGCGTGCATCAATTGACGCACCTTGAGGCGGATATGACTTGCGTCAAACGCTTGGCACGCGCGACGAAGGCCCAGCGCATGGCCAGCGCCGAGAAGCAGCGCCCGACATTGAGGAGGTACGCGGGTGCGCCGTGGAGATTCAGAGTGCTCGAGAAGATTGAGTTGGCGGGTCCTCAAGCGGGGCCAGTTATGGACATCGAGTTTTGGACTGCCAGCTACCGCGATGCTGGAGATGCGACGTCGACTGGGTGCTGCATCTGGACGTCGGAGAGGTCGCTGCCCGACTATTTTGCTCGACTTGGCAGCGCCAGGATCCGACCCAGTCTATGCGCTCCCAAGAGGATGTCTAGAACAGTGGATAGGGCTGGCTGGAACTCCCTAGAACTCGCGATCCCATCGACAGGCGTGGGCGGAGGCAGCGTAGCTGTTAGGATTTTTACCTTCAGCCCGGAGCGAGGCATGCACGCGGGCCGCATGCGGCTGCCATGAACTTCCTTGTCGGCGTTGGGTGGGGAATGCCGCGATCTACGATGTGGTTTCCTCCGAGTGACCCCATTGGTATTTCTGGTGAGGCATGGTCAAATGCTTCTGGAGACTTCGCGGCTGTCGACCAGGCGCGCGAGTTGATCGACAGGATTGCCTGATCCCTTAGGCGCCGGTGGTGGAAGGACGCGGCGCCCACATCACTTTGCGGAGGAGGGATGAAACATTGGCCTTGGTAATTTCAGGCATTAGCGATGTCTTTTTCAGCTTGAGATGTCCTGGCCACGGCAGGCAGCTCAGCGAATTGATGTTGGCTATTGTTGTTGGGGGATCTTGGAATGATGAAAGGAAAACAAGCACTTTGACTTCGAAGCAGTTGAAATATGCCGGAAGTGCGGGGAGGGCCCTGTGACGCCCATGCACAGCATGTGGTTTTGTGGGCGAAATAGAAGGCCACTTCTTTTTGAAACCACTGATGCGTTAGTACCTAAGGCTTTGGCCCAGACCAACAGCTGCGACTGTCGTTGGTCGAGGGGGCTCATCCCACGCGATGCGATGTGCGTGAGCCCCCGCCGCTGTGAACGTGAAGTGCGGATTCGGAGTTGCCCGATCGATCCCCGTCTCTTTTACATTGGTCGTGGCCCCCCTCTGTTCCAGCTTCTCTTTGGGGGCGCTTCGGGGGGGGGGGGGGGCGTCCGCGACCCTAGGCTCCGCAGGGTTGGCATCGCTGCGTTTTTGTACCCTCCCGCGCCCCATGAGCCCGATCGGGAACGTAAATTCTGGCATGGTCTTCTGCCTGGTCGGCACCAGTCGGTTCCCAGGGGACTTGCGCCGTTTTTTCCCCGACTGTCTTGTGATGTTGGATCTTCGTTTTGAAGAGAGCGCCCACGTCGCCTCCCTACCGTTGCCCCCTCTCCCCAATCCTCCCGTGCCCCATACCTTCTGTTGCCTTCCGCGCCAGTCAACCACGTCGGCACACCCCGCGCACTTTTCGAGGCTCCATGGAAGCACGACCGAAGGCCCCAACAGCTGTGATCACATGCGTCCCCCGCCACCCAGCACGGCGGTTCGTGGCCCCACAAGGAGCCCCACCGAAGGCCCCAGCGGTTGTGATCACACGCGTCCCTTGCCACCCAACACGGCGCTTCGTGCTCCATAGGGAACCCCACCGAAGGCCCCAGCGGTTGTGATCACATGCGTCCCCCGCCACCCAACACGGCGCTTCGCGGCCCCATATGGGAGTTCCACCGAAGGCCCCAACGGTTGTGATCACATGCGTCCCCCGCCACCCAGCACGGCGGTTCGTGGCCCCATAGGAGCCCCACCGAAAACCCCATTGGTTGTGATCTCATGCGCCCCTTGCCACCCAGCACGGCGCTTCGTGTTCCATAGGGAACCCCACCGAAGGCCCCAGTGGCCGTGATCACGTGCGCCCCCCGCCACCCAGCATTGCGCGGCCCCATAGGGAGTTTCACCGAGGGCCCCAATGGTTGTTGTCACACGCGTCCCCGCCACCCAGCACGGTGATTCGTGGTCCCATCGGGAGCCCCATCGAATGCACCAGCGGTTGTGATCACACGCGTCCCCCACCACCCAGCACGGCGATTCGCGGCCCCAGAGGGAGCTCCACCGAAGGCCCCAGGGGTTGTGATCACATGCGACCCATGCCACCCAGCACGGCGTTTCGTGGCCCCATCGGGAGCGCCACCGAAGGCCCCAGCGTTTGTGATCACATGCGTCCCCTTCGACCCAGCACGGCATGCCGTGACCCCATAGGGATCTCCACCAACGGCCCCAGCGTTTGTGATCACATGCTTCCCCCGCCACCCAGCACGACGCTTCGTAGCCCCATAGGGTGTTCCACCCAGTGGTTGTGATCACATGCGTGTCACCCGCCAGTTTCGGTATATTTCTCGCGCGTTTCGTGGCCTGCCCCGAGGGGGCTCCACCGAAGGCCTTGGCGGCGGTGTCCACGTGCGCCTCCCCGCCCATGTCGGCATACCCCTCGCACGTTTCGTGGCCCCGTAAAAGCTCCACGTGCTTTGCGGCATTCGCAGTTGCACGTGGTTGGGCCTTTCACCCGATAATTGTCTCGAGGTCCCATGGCCTCTGTTGCGGACAACGGAGCAGTTTGTCGGGGTTTCTGGGGTAGAAAATTCAAGGCCCCCATGGGGCCGAACGCCGATTTGTGGAAGAATCCTGGAGAGGTCATTCAGGGGACGGATCGTCATCTTGGTGATATAGCTGTGTTCCAGATCCCGCCCCACTTGGAGGCGGAAGAACATGTTGCCCGTTGCTCGTCTGGTGTTCCGGTGGCAGGAAATCCGTTTGTGGGCCACGTGGCAGGGATTGTTGCTAAGCATTTCGCTGTCCCCTGCCCCCAACGTGAGCGCGTACTCCAGGTTGAACCAGAAGTGCGTCTTATTAGGGAAATACTGCTCAGGACTATGTTGGAGGCGATCAAGGTTGAGGGGGAAAACATCGGCGCCCTGCTGCTGCCGCTGCTGCTGCTGCTGCTGCTGCTGCTCCCCCCCGCCTCCTTCTGCTGTGGCCCTGTTGAATTCCCCGCACACTGTACTTGAGCGTGGACAGAGGTGACCCAGTTGCAGGAGCTCAGCTACGAAAGCGGGCAAAGCCAGATGGCTGGCCACAGGCTGCTTCGATCTTCTCAGTGTGTCTAGTGTGATGTCTAAATTGCCTCTGGGTCAAAGGTAACATTTCGCTGGGGATGAGGTCCACGCTTCCCACATTATGTTGGACCATGTCAGTCTGGACCTCTGGTTATCTAAAGCTTGTGGTTGCTTTGGCCAGCAAAATTGCTTGGCCTGGTGGATGCATGCCCTGCCCGTAAGATTCCCCCTGTTCCAATCCCTAAGACTCGGCGGGAGTAGTCGGACAGAATTTCCTGTGACCTTTGGCCCAAGGTTCTCAGCAAGGTTCATAGGCGGCCCGGGGTCATTGATTTGTGCATTGACTCGTTTCGCGACTGGTCTCATCTCTGGTCTCATCCCATCTCATACCTGCCCTCCGCATGTCAACCTGTTCGGCACACCCCTCAAACGCTCCGTGGCGCCGTGGGGAGCACCACCGACGGCCCCAGCGGCAAAATTCGCATTCTGTTCCCCCCGCATTTCGGCACACCCCTCACGGGCTCGGTGGCACCATGGGGAGCTCCACCGAAGGCCCCAGTGGCAAATTTCGCATGCGGTTCCCCGCGCACTTCGGCACACCCTTCGCACGTTTCGTGGCCTCATGAGGGGGTTCCACCGAAGGTCCCAGTGGCAGGGGCGGTTCCCCGCCCATTTCGGCACACCCTTCACCCGTTTTGCGGCCGTGTCAGGCAGGGTTCGCGCGCAGTTCCCCGTCCATTTCGGCACATCGGGAGCTCCACCGAATGCGGTGCCCCAGCGCGGTACTTACAACTGCATATGGTTGGGTCATCCGTCGGTCTAACATTTGGTGTTGTTTGGTGGGCTTTGGGGGCAGTGTTGGGATGCCATGTCTTGCACCGAGCTGGGGGGGGCTTCTCCAGCCGTCTCGGAGTTCATAACAACTTTAAAGGGCGGGAATGCGAAAATCATTTGCGTACATGCGTAAAATCAATGATTGTTGCCTTTTGAGACTGTCTTGTGGGTCCTGCTGGGCCCTCTTCGGGCGTCTTCCAGGCCTGTTGGGCCGTCCTGAGGCCATCTTGGATGCTCTGAAGGCCTCTCCAGCGCGTTGGAGCCATTCTTGATCCAATTTTGAAGGCATCTTGAGCATCTTGGAGGCCGCGGTGGGTGGATTTGGAGACTCCGAGGGCCAGGGAAGCGCGTTGGGGATCTCGTGCGCCCTCCCCCTTCTTCTAACGGGATTTTGAACCCTAGGGGAGGGGGAAAGGAGAGGGGTACAGCCAAGCTAGGTGCGCTCGCGTCCTATCTGACCTCCTACCCCTCCCTCCCATCCCTTATCATGGCGTAGATATCCTCTCCAGTCGCACAGTTTGCTGTCGAGCAGGGCAATGATCGCGAGAGGGTACGCGATGCATGGTAGAGCACGGCATGGCATGGCGTAAAAGAGCACGGCAGAGCGTAGCATGCCATGGTATGGCGTGGCATTGCACAGTGAAGTATTGCATCACAAAGCATTGCGACGCAAAGCACGGCATCGCACAGCGGCGCATAACACAACACCGCACAGCATGTCATGTCATGGCGCTAGGTTCCTTGGAGGGTAAGTGGATCCTCTTCGAGAGGTCTGGGCCGGTCTGGAGTCGTGGCTCCATGTCTAGCTTCTTGGGCTCCCCAAAAAGCTCCACACTGACTCCACACAAGGCGGGGCTGATGGAGAGCACCCGCTGGCTCTGCTTTCACCATCGCCTTCTCAAAGCAGAAACGAGGCTCCCGCTTCATACTACCTGAAAAAGACGACGCCCCAAAGTGGGGGGGGGCTTCTGCGGCCCAAAGAAATTAACGAATCGACACCGAATGTGGAATCACTTCCGATGGGTTTTTTCGGGGGGCATGTCCTAGCTATTGAGGCCTATTTGGGAGGACCGACGACGCCCGCTCTGCAGCGGGAGCACGATTTGGAACAACCAGAGGCGCAGAAATGGGGCCAGCGCTTCAGCGGGAACAACATGTTGAAAGAAAGCCCAAGCGAAAACCCAGATCTTGGGAATCCTGTGTGTCAAAAACCGTGCGTGGAGGGGGCCGAATATCTTCCGGACGTTATCAGGGGAGAGGAGAGTAGTATTCGTATTGTGTAATTGTCTAAGCTAGGTGAGTTCGCGCCATATCCGACATCAGATCCCTCCGTCCCATCCCTTCCCTAGCCGACCTGGAACTCCTCAAAGACCCCTATCGTATGTCATGCGCAATCGGACAAAGGGATCTGCGTACGGAGGAGGAGCAGGAGGAGGAGGAGGAGGAGGAGGAGGAGGAGGAGGAAGCGGCGGGTGGGCAGGAGGATGGGCAGGAGGACTAGGAGGAGGAAAAGTAGGAGGAGCAGGAGGAGGATGAAGGAGGACCCAGCCAAATGTCGCATCCTACCCCCCCCGAAAGTGGGGATCGGCGGATTATGTGCAGGAAGGACATTGGCGCTGGCTTCTCTCGGCCAGTTGCCTTAGGTATGCCCCTCCTTCGTGCATCGGGGATGCCCGCCTCGCGGCTGCGTTGGGCCCCGTCGGACGCTCCTAAAGCCGCGCACCAAAGGTCTTCCGTGCAGCCGGGTTGGCGTTGGCTTCTCTCCGCCAGTTGCCTCAGGTATGCTGGTATGCCCCTCACTCCTGCATTGGGGATGCCCACCATGTTCCGGGAAAGCCTCCCTCCCGAAAAGCAACGCAACCCAATGCAAAACGAATACGAACGAAATCAGTGCAGTGTAATGGAATGCGAAGCCAGGCAACGCAAAGCAAAACAGCGAAGTGCAGAGCAAAGTTGAGGGCAGGCCTCATTGCAATGCACTTTACTTGGCTGCGCTGCTACGTCAAGCATGGCAAAGCAATTGCAAGAGGGTGAGCTGCCCGTCAATGAACTTGTTCAACAACTGGCATCGGGGAACAAACGATAACAGAGGCATAAATACTCGGATGTTCGTGCGGATTTCTCGCCGGCGCTGGATCCCCCACCCCTGGCGCGCGGAGCGTGCCAGGGGCGGCACCGCAGGGGCCGCCAGGGAGGCCCTAGCGTCGATCCGAGGAATCCACGCGGAGCTCAGAGGTTTGATGCTTATGTCATTGCTTATGTCATTGTCTGCTCCCTTAGTGCTGCTACACGAGGAGGAGCGGGTAAGAGGATCGAGGGGCGAGGAGGAGGAGGATGTGGAGGAGGATAATGTGAGGAG